CATCAGACTTTGGCCCAAGCCAAATGTATTTTCATTTGTTTTAGTTCATTTCTTCTGTTTCAGTTAATTCATTTATAGGGCATTGGGACTTCATGTGGCTACTTTGGGCATCTTTTATTTTTAAGAATTTATGATTTATAAAAATGATTAGAGCATTTATAGTTTCAAAGGAATTTCATATATATTTTCTTAATTGTTTTAAACTTTACAAAATGCACATAAGGCTAGGATTTCTATTATTATTAAATCTTACAGATGAGAAATGAAATGTATCTAACCAATGGCTAAGCCAGAAATGGAACCTCAGTCTTCTAACTCTAAATGGTATTATAATATGCTTTACCACTAGAAATCTGATTTATTAAGTTATTTTAGTTGACCAAATTAATACTTTTAAATAACACACTGTCAAGTTACTGATTCTCACTGCATGAAAAAGCCAAATTGAACAGTAAGTATAAATTCTCTTATCTTTCAAGGTATTGGAAGGCTTAAGTGTTCTACAAAATAAAAAGTGTGTATTTTTTCTTTTTTTCTCATATCTTTTCTAAACTACCATTTAAAAACATTTCTATTTCTGCATTTCCATTGGTCACTCTCATGTGCTTGTTGAATTTGGTAATCCTGTTTGAGACAGCTCCTTTAACAATGTTGTCACAGTTCAGGGAGCCTTGGCATGACATACGTAACCCTTCTGTATGGTATTCTCTCTGGCATTACATTCTTACATTACATTCTCTCTGGCATTGCATTCTTTCACTTTCCATTTTGTACTTTTCTCTCTTGCTTTATTTGTATGTAGTGTTCTGAAGTCCAAGTAACAAAATGTCATTTGGAAGTTATGTGAATTATTCGTAAATTACATAAATATGTTTGTAAGGAGTTATTGAATTGTTCGTGATGGTGATCCATGAATAACTAAGAAAATTTGTTTGATTTTTAATGATTTCAGCCAATGAAAAAGTATAGAAAACAGTATAACAGACACCGATTTACCCATCACACAAATGTCATAGAGATTGACGTTTGTAATATTTAGGAGTTTTTTTAAGTAAATAAAAAATTACAGATACAGCTAAGGTCATACATAAATAACTGCTATTCCTTTTTCTCCATCTTCACCTCTTAACCTACATGGTAACCATTATCCTGATGTTATTTATTATCCTTATGCATGGTTTTTATTCTTTTGTTTGACATATATATATATATACTAGCAGCATATAATCATCTTTTGTGTATTTTTAAAAATATACATTAATGTCTCACTGAGCCTTAGTATTCTGCATTGTAAATAATTGTTTTAATAATTGTACAAGTAGATCTATTTATTTTCCTAACAATAGACAATTAGATTATCTCTATTTTTGTCAGTTATGAATATATACAAACAGTACTACAGTGAACAGTTTTATACATGCCTTTTTGAGCACTTGTATGTTTCTTGGATAGATATTTAAAAGAGGAATTGCTGGGTCATCTAGACCAGTGTACACGATCTTTAACTTTACTAGGCATTTCCAAATTGCTCTCCATATCTTCCCAGCACACTGTGTTGAAAAGACTGTCCTTTGTCTACTGTGCTGCAATGTCACCTTTGTCATAAATCAAGGAACTGTATACATGTCAGTCTGTTTCTGTGCTTTCCGTTCCACTGGTTATATATGCATATTATTGTGCCAAATCACACTTCTGTAATTACTATAGCATTATAATATTGAGTCATCCAGTTCATGAACATGGTATATTCCTTCACTTAATTAGGTCTTCTTTAATTTCTTTCAATAATGTTGTGTAGTTTTCTGTGTAGAGTCTTGCTCATTTTGTTAGATTTATGCCTAGGTATTTGATTTCGTTTGACACTATGGTAAATTGTATCATTAAAAATGTTTTATTTTGAATTACAGGTTGAGCATTCCTAATCTGAAAATCTAAAATCTGAAATGCTCCAATGAGCATTTTCTTTGAGCATCATATTGTTGCTCAAAAAGCTTTGGATTTCAGAGCATTTTAGATTTTATTTAGAATGCAAATATTTCAAGATCCAAAAAATTGAAATTGGAAACACTTCTGTCCCCAAGTGTTTTGGATAAGTGATATTCAACCTGTATTTGTTGCTAAAATATAGGGGAAAAGTTGATTTTTGAATACTGAACTTGTATCTAAAGTTCAGTTTTTAAAGATTTCCTTGGATTTTCTGGGAGCACAATCATGACGTATAGGAATAATGAGTTTTATTATTTGCTTTCTAATCCTTATACCTTTTATTTTTATTTCCCTTTCCTGCGCATTTTTTTCTTTTCTTTTCTTTTTTTTTTTTTTTTTTGAGATGGAGTCTTGCTCTGTCACCCAGGCTGGAGTGCAGTGGCGCGATCTCAGCTCACTGCAAGCTCCGCCTCCTGGATTCACGCCATTCTCCTGCCTCAGCCTCCCGAGTAGCTGGGACTACAGGCGCCCGCCACCATGCCCAGCTAATTTTTGTATTTTTAGTAGAGACGGGGTTTCACTGTGTTAGCCAGGATGGTCTCGATCTCCTGACCTCATGATCCACCCGCCTTAGCCTCCCAAAGTGCTGGGTTTAAAGGCGTGAGCCACCGCATCCGGCCTCATTTTTTTCACAAGTGGATGTTGAATTTTTTCAAATGCTTTCTCTGTGTTATTGGAGATAATTGTATGGTTTCTTTATTCTGTTAATGTAGTGAATTACATTGATTGGCCTTTGAATATTAAACCAACTTTGTATTTCTTGAAAGCTCTAAGTGGTTTATATAACCTTAGATTGACTTATTAATAGTTTGTTAAGAAGTTTTGCATATATATTTATGGGTGAAATTGGTCTGTAATTTTTCTTGTAGTGTTCTTATCAGGTTTGGATATCAATGTTCTTGATATCCAAATCTGAAATTATTTGGGAAAAATTCTTGTTCACTAGAAGAAGTTTTGTAATATTGGTGCTATTTCTTTCTTAAATGTTTGCAAGAATTCAGTAGGGGTGTTCTCTGCATTTAGAGTTTTTCTTGTGGGCTTTTACAAATTTAATAAATATAGGATTGTTAGGTTTTCTATTTCTTGTGTCATTTTGTGATTTTTAAAAAAGGAGATAAAGACATATTAAAAAAGAGATTAAAGAGATATAAAATATTTGATCATGTCAATATTTGATTATTTTATGACAGGCTTATTTTTTAATCTCTGTAGAATTCATTTTGTTTTTATCATTAGTTTTATCATTGTTTTATGACATGCTTATTTTTTACTCTCTGTAAAATTCATTTTATTTTTATCATTAGTTTTATCATTCTGCTTATATGAAACTACTTTCCAGGTTCTTACTGTGTTAAGCTCTTTCTGTCACAAGAAACAGATATACTCAAGTTCCTTCAAGTAATGGAGATGTATTAGGTGCAATATAAAGCCATATGGTGCCATAAGAAAAAGGAATTACACAGGAAGAGAAAGATCTCTAGCACAGTTTGGCATTAGGGAGACTGGAAATGTGTAGCTAATTAGAATGCGATACAGCTTTAGGGATGGAACAGGTTTTCTTTTTATCCCCCATTAGCGACACTTTATAAGGCTTTACTTTGATACCCAGTTGTTTATGTGAAGTTTCTCACTTCATTTTGGCTTTTATCTTTTCTTCCTTTCGTTACTAACTATCCTCTTTACTCCTAGTCTAAATAATTTTTCATCATACCTTTTATTTTCTCATAACTACTTACTCATGATCCCCGGTGCCTTGTGGCCTATTTCTGTGATTCTTTTTAGCCTCTCTTCAAGTTACCAGGTAACTGAACCTCTCTGATTCTCAGTTAACTCCCAAAAGATTATTTGATTGGTCTAGTTTGAGAAGCTTTTATGCTAGGCCCATTGGCTGGTTCTGGCTTTTTTTTTTTTGAGATGGAGTCTCAGTTTCACCCGTGCTGGAATGCAGTGTCGTTATCTTGACTCACTGCAAACTCCACCTCCTGGATTCAAGCGATTCTTGTGTCTCAGCCTCCTGAGTAACTGGCATCGTCACACTCAGCTAATTTTTGTACAGTTGGGGTTTTGTCATGTTGGCCAGCCTGGTCTCAAACTCCTGGCCTCAAGCGATCCACCTCCTTGGCCTCCCAAAGTGCTGAGATTACAGGTGTGAGCCACCATGCTTGACCCGGTTGGCTACTCTTGACCAGGCAGCTATTGCCAAAGGGTGGTATTCACATAGCACAGAGCATGGATGCCCTGGGCTAACTCCTCTGCCAAGGGCTGTATTTGGACAATTTCCCTTAGCGGGGTGTGTACCTGGAAAGTACTATAATTGATCAATACAGAGAAGTTCTAGAAAATTAAGTTGTTGTAAGAGTTATAGTTCTGCCTCCTCCACGTGCTCCGGTGAATGCTAGTAAATAATTAAATGCTGATAAACCAATGTCTAGAATTTGATGTTATAAATATCTTTTAATAGTCATCTACCTGTAACTGAAAAATTGCTGCCAAAAATTATATGTGCTGCCAACCCCAAATAGGGCCATGGGCAATTAGATGTGTAATACCTGTTGTTTTAAGATGGACAAATGAAAATTGATAGACTTTAAACGTAAGCAATAGGTAGAACATGCACATAGGCAGATTAAAAAATGCTTACTGAGAAAGCCATAGCAGTTATCCACTTCTGGTCTTATTTCCTTTTTAATACCCAGGAACAGCTGTGTGTACTGCTAAGAATTTATTTTTCTGCAGTATCACACAGTTCAGGTTGAAGGACTCTATTTAAAAGCTGGACAAAAACCACCTTCTATTTTCTGTTTTCTTTGCAACTATGGCCATGAGACACAGTTCTGGTCAGTGAAATGTAAGTGTTCTGGGAGGATCCTGGATTCTGGAGGACCGCTTTCCTTTTGTGATATTTATGCTGCAAAGTAATGTTTTGCCTAATGCCTTTCCATTTATGAGACAATTGTGGATATTATCTAAAAACGTTTCTGGTACAATAAGTGAAATTCCTTTCTAATTTTTAGGAGGACTCAGAGAGAGTAATGATAATTACTGGACCAAACATGGGTGGAAAGAGCTCCTACATAAAACAAGTTGCATTGATTACCATCATGGCTCAGATTGGCTCCTATGTTCCTGCAGAAGAAGCAACAATTGGGATTGTGGATGGCATTTTCACAAGGTAAGTACGTTAATTCAGTTTGAATATATTCTTGAAAATAAGTCAAGCGCACATTATCACATGAATTTTCCTTTTGTGTACATATTTAGATGCTCTTAAAGCATTCAGCATTTAGGAAAGATCAGGCACGGTGGCCCACACCTGTGATCCCAGCACTTTGGAGACCAAGGCAAGAGGATCACTTGAGTCTAGGAGTTTGAGAGCAGCCTGGGCAACATGGAAAAACCCCATCTTGACAAAAAATCAAAAAATTAGCCAGGAACCTGAGGTGGGAGGATCACCTGAGGCTGGGGAGGTTAAGGCAACAGTGAGCCAAGGTCACATCATTGCACTCCAGCCTGGGCAACAGAGTGAGACCCTGTCTCAAAAAAAAAAACAAAAAAAAAACTATTTTTATCATGACTGATAATACTAGAAAGAACTTAGGAGTTAATTTTGTCCAGTAGTTTCCAAATTATTTTTAGTTATTGAGTTCTTTTTTATTTTATTTTATTTTATTTATTATTATTATTAATATTATTTTTTTTTTTGAGATGGAGTTTGCCTCTTGTTGCCTAGGCCAGAGTGCAGTGGCACTATCTCGGTTCACTGCAAGCTTCACCTCCCCAGTTCAAGCTATTCTCCTGCCTCAGCCTCCCGAGCAGCTGGGATTACAGGGACCCGCCACCACGCCCGGCTAATTTTTGTATTTTTAGTAGGGACAGTGTTTCACCAGTTGGCCAGGCTAGTCTCGAACTCCTGATCTCAAGTGAGCCGCCCGCCTTGGCCTCCCAAAGTGCTGAGATTACAGGCATGAGCCACCACACCCAGCTGAGTTATTATTTTGAAGAAAACCTTTTATAGAAAATAAATATTTAAACAGATAAAAACAGATCTGCTCTGTCTTCCAGGGGTAGAAGGCTTGGAGACTTGGCTGTTAGGCTTTGTAGAGCACAGTCTGAAAACTAGTCCATCCTTCCCATTTTAGGTGGAGACCTGAGACAAACTGCAAAAGGCATTGGACCGAGATCATTTTGTTGATATCCCTTTTTACTCTACGAACATTACATGCAACTAAGTCTTACCCTCAATGTGTGAACCTAAATTTTATGCCATGTTACGAATATGAGTGAAACATCCTGGTTTCACTAAGGAGAATTCACAGTTTAATCTGTTTAACACCTTCTGATTTATCAGTTCTTAAAGCATTGTGTATATGTCTTACATGTACATTTCTAAAAAGTAAATACAGTCTCTGTGCATAGTCAATCTCTGTGTATAGAGTATCTGAGTTGTTGTCCAGCTACATATTTATATAATATTTGACTATGGAATCAAATCAGAATATATCACACGCTAATATTGATATTCTTGAGTAGACACTAAAATGCTTTAAAACTTCATTTTCCATCTGAGAATGAACAAAGTACCCTGAATTCTGTTTGATGCCATGTCACCAAATAGGTGTTATTCTGATCCCCATATATGTTTAACTCAAAATAAGAAATTTAAAGAGTCTTTCTTTAGTTCTTAAGGCTGTAATTCATTTTCTATTTTATAAGAGAAACAAACCAGGTATTTTATTTTGGTTACAGTATTAAGGAAAGTAACAGAGATATTTAGTGAAGAAAAAAAAAAGAGAAAAAAAGAAAAAAAGTATTGGTCAATATAAGGGGATTTACCTGGACAGGAATCTTGTTACTGAGCGGAATATCAAGATTGTTTGTAGATACAAGTAAAAGAAGAGTTTATTTTTGTCATATAAGGAGAAGGCTGGAGGTGGGTAGCTGCTTCTGGTGTTTCAGTGGCTCTGCCATTTCACTGGCCTTTCCCTCAGAGTTATAAGATTGCTGCTGCAGCTCCAGGCATCACATTCCTATTCACATGAGGTGAAAAGGAGATGGGACTGCCATAGCTTTCCCCACTGCCCCTCTGTTTGTTTTTGTTGTTGTTGTTGTTTTGTTTTGTTTTAGGACATCAGTAGGTTTTTAGGATCCTCCCAGAAAACTTACATTTCAGTGACCAGAAGTATGTCTCATGGCCGTAGTTGCAAAGAAAACAGAAAATAAGAAGGTGGTTTTTGTCCAGCTTTTAAATAGAGTTAAGCACAGTAACTGGGAATACAATCAGTGGTAATCAGAAAATAGTTTCTGTCATAGGGTGTGAAATCAGTAATAATAGTAACAGCTAAACTTTATGATATCTTTACAATATTAGTGTAATATTTTTATCAAGGTACAGGCACTGTTATGTGCACCTTATATAGAGGACTTTATGTAAAGTACATTCAGCAAGTACATGTCTAAGTGTGCTAAACTATGCTAATTTCAAGAAATTGGAGCATTTATTCATTCATCCAACATGTACTAAATGAATACCTAACATATGGCAGTCACTGAGAATACAAAGGAACCACAGTTTTTGATTTCATGAAAGCTACCTAGTGGAGAAAATCAGCATTAACCAAATAATCACATGCAGAAATGTGAAACTGCAGCTATGACAAGTCTATGAAGGCTATATGCAAGATGCTGGGTTAGGCTGTGATCCTGGGATATGACCTGGTTGGGGACGTCAGGGGAAGGCTTCCCTTAGCAAGTAACTTTTGAGTGCCTATCTGAAGGATGAGTGTAAGAAGGAAGGAAGAACATTTCAGAGAGATCATGTGCAAAAGTCTTTTAGCATAAAAAACGTAGACAATGGGTGAAGGCTGGTCCTCCAGGAGAGCAAGATTCTAGGTGAAGCATAGCCATGTTAGGAGTTTATCCTAAGAGCCATGGTAAACTGTTGAAGAATTTTAACCAGGATTTTGCATGATTATGTCTGCATTGGTTACACTATAAAGAACGTCTGGAGAAAAAACCAAGTAGATCAGAGGAACCCAAAGAGCAGGCTCTTTTGGTGGTCCTGGTGAGAGGATCAGTAGCTTGGATTAAGTTTGTAGTGCTAGTTTAAGTGGAAAGGAGTCATATTTGAAATATATTTGGGAAAGAAATCACCAGGACTTGGTGATAGATGGGGGTATGGCAGCTGAGATACATGGAGTTGTCAGAGATGACATTGAGTTTGTGCTTCTGAATGGTAAATGCTGGCATTTGCTAGAAGAGGATGATGTTTTTTCATAGATTCTGACTTTATCTTTGTATATAATAAGTAGAATTATTCTGAGACATTCAAAGGGTGCTATTATGTAGTAGGCAGTGGATATAAAGTTTAGATTTCAGAGACAGAGATCAAAGGTAAAGATGTAAATTTGTTGTGAGACATTTTTGTGTACATGATTGGGTGTGGATGAGATCATTTTGACAGAGAGTATAGTGGAGAAGATTAATATTCTGAGACTGAACCTTAAAACTGCTGAGATTTCATAGTTGAGTAAGAAGTTAAGATTGAAAACCAACAAAAGAAGTGTAGCCAGAGAAGCAGGAGAAAAAACAGGACATTACAGTGTCACGGGAGCAAGGGAAAAGAGTGCTTCAAGAAGAAAAGAAGTGGTCAGCAGTGCTGAAAGGTTAGGTGAGGTGAAACCTGAAAAGTCACCTTTGGTCTTAGCAAAATAACTGTCACTAATGACCTTAGCAGGAGTTGGTTTCGCGGAGTGGTGGGGCCACACTCCAGTTAAAAGAGAGCTAAAGAGTGAGTTAGAGGTCAGGAAGTAGAGGGCGTTAGTACAGGTGATACTGCGAAGGCTGGCCAGGAAGAAGGCAGGAGAGATCCAGTGAGGGGCTTGTTTTATTTTTTAATGGTAGACTTGAACGTATTTCAATAGGATATCCAGTGGGATGTGTTATACCCAAGAATTTATGATTCTAAAAAAACCAAAAAATTAATTGATCACCTTTGGAGGATCCTAGAATGAATCCTAATGATATTTAAAATAAAAATATCATTAGTCACTTTGGAGGATGAAAACTGAAAAAGAGAAAGATCCAAGCAGGTATCCTATCTTTTCAAATAGGTAACAGGGGGAAGTTTCTCTTTATAGAAATGTTCCAGCTAATAAAGCAGGAATAAGAATTAGAGTATCACCCTTTTTACAACCCCGATGTGATAACAGATTTAAGTAATAATCAGAAATGGCTGCTAATGTCACCAAAGAACAGACAATCAGACATTAGGTAAAAGTTTGTGACAACTTATGATGTCTTCTGGCCTAAAAAAATCAAACCGAATAGTCGGGTGCAGTGGCTCAGGCTTGTAATCCCAGCACTTTGGGAGGCCAAGGTGAGTGGATCACCTGAGGTTAGGAGTTCAAGACCAGCCTGGCCAATCATGGCCAACATAGTGAAACCCGTCTCTACTAAAAATGTAAAAAATAGCCAGGTGTGGTGGTTAGCACCTGTAATCCCAGCTACTCCAGAGTCTGAGGCGGGAGAATTGCTTGAACCAGGGAGATGGAGGTTGCAGTGAGCCAAGATCACGCCACTGCACTCTAGCCTAGGCAACAGAGGGAGACTGTATCTGAAAAAAAAAAAAAAAAAAATCAAACTGAAACTGTTCAGACCTCTAGATCTAGATATCAATTTACAAGAGAAAAAGAGAATAGAGGAACATGTTGAACACCACCATGGGGATACTGTCAGCAAAATCTAGACTGTGGGAAACTGTAGGACAAATGGCTGGTGTTTTTTTTAACAAATAAATAGCAATGACAAAAAAAAAAAATAGTTGGGGAGAGAGGGAAGAGAACCTGCATATTAAAAGAGAGTTAAAGACCAGTCACCCAGTTCCAACATACAGATCTTAATTCAGTCCTGACTCAAACACATAAACCTTTGTTTCAAAGCACTAGTGAAACATTTAAAAATTTTTGAGCACTGACTAGATATCTAATGATACTGAAGAATTACTTTAAATGTTTAAGTGAGATAAATAGTGCAATGCAATGGTTATGATTTAATAGAAAAATCCTTTAGTGATACATGCTAAAATGTTTACATGTTACATGATCTGCTACCCAATATTTACATCACAGTAATCAAGGATGGATAGGGAAATTTGGTAGGATAGAGATGAAATGA